CTCAATCTTTGCAACATTTGCCCATCTGCCGAGGATGTTTCAGCTGTTTGTTCCTTTACTTCAGCACCAGCTAACAATATAACAAACGCTATTATTTATTAAAATCACAATTAAGAGATATTTAAATTGTTGTACAATTTATATGTAATAACAGATACAAATAGAACATTATAATTATGTTCTGTATTAAAAACTATATGTTCAGTCTTATTATTTTTTAGGAATCAACTTATGGCATGTTTTGCAGAGTAATTATATAAGAACATTAGCAAAAAAAATGTCTGCCATTCATTTTGCAGTCACTCACCCTTAGCTTGTGAAAGGCGTTTATTTTCCTCTTGTAAACGATTTACAACAGAAACGAGTTCTTGAGATTCCCCACGCCATTGTTCTTCTATAGCTTCCAGTTCCTGCAGAAGGCACTATATAAATATTTTGAAATATTCAAAACAAACTAATAAAAAATAATAATAAAATATAATAATTAAAGTAAAAAAATAAAAAATAATAAATTATTTTATTTCATATTTATTTATAAAAAATATTATTTGAAGAGGGACTGTCATAAAATAATATCTGTTTTAAAATTATTTATATGTAACTTATGCAAGAAAGTATTCTAAATATTTAGCTAATGTACCAAAAGCATTTGCAATCAACTGAGTGAATAATTAATATTTAATTGAATTATATAACAGCATTTTATAAAATGTAATGGTAATTACAAATACAGCACTAGTTTTGAGAACAAAACAATATTTGAATTTGTTTAACATTATGCTGTATTTATTAGGTTTAACTTGAAGTTGATAACAAATTCAAAAATAGAATTGAAACCAATTAATTTATACATAAAAAGTAATAATCCAATAACTAAAATGTATCAAAATAGAATACTTATTAACTAGCAAGTAAAAATAATTATGCGTGAATAGTGTTAAGTAATAATAAGCCAATTCTCACACTTTCTATTTCATGGGAAATGTTCCAAAGATCTACATGTGCAATAATGTGAAATACTACTGATACTCAATTATATGCATTTAAAAATTATAAGTAAAATTAAATATTTCACATAACTAAACAAAATACTTAATTCGACGTTAACAAGATTGTAATTTGAATAAAACATAAGTAAATAAGTTTACATAAAATAGTATTTAAATCAATCATAGCTCAATATAAGTAAGTTAAATAAATTTTAATTATTTCAAAATAAAATTTATTTTAAAAATTGAAAAGTTAAGAATTAAAGTAATTCTAAACATTTACTTCGATCATACATCAACAATAAATACCATAATATGCAACATGCATTAGTGTTTGCTTTCATAATAAATATTAATTTTAAGTGCCATTAATTTTAATCAGAGAAATAGTTGAGATTTTGTATTTAGTAAAACAAAAACAATGAGTATATGATTAGAGAAGAGAATTTCTAAAGCATTTTTAAATATGTATATAATATAAATTGTAAAAGATAATTGAATTGTAAGCATTTGAAAGCAAAAAAAAAAAACATTTTTGTTATTTAAATATCGATGGTAATATGCTAAAGACGACAAAAATGTTTTTTTTGAATCCAACAGCAATTTAGAATATTTTGAACATAAAAACATTCAAAGTTCATAGGTTACGAATTTAATTAATGCCAGGAGTTGACATTTAAATGACAGTGCCATACTTAATTTGATATATTAGTTAAAGAATGATTTAAAATTTGTAATAAAAACCTGCATTTCTATTTAGAAACAGACCTTTTCAAACCGCTGCCTATACTCGGCTTTTTCCAGCTTTTCATTTTCCAGTTGGGAAATTTTGCACGTCAGTTCTTGAAGTGTGGTATTTTCACGTTCGTTTCGAGTGGCCAATGCTTCTAATAGCTCTAAAGTATTGATAACTTTCGGCATGAGACCAGTAACAGCGTCTGCACCATAATTGTCAATTATTTTTTCACATTCTTTTCCAATATCGGATGCTATGTCGTACACATCGACGACAGAAATTCCATCACAATAATCGGATTCGCTCATTTTGAAATTAGAATGCCTGTCGCGAATAGGGAACGGCATCAAGGTATCGTTTGTGGCAACTGATTTTATTTACTAAAACGAGCGACACAGCACAAACACGCAATTTACAATCCCCGAATCTGACGGCTCTGAGCTGACGGCGTTTCCCAATTCAAGCAATCATGACAGACTGGTATGATCGCAATTTTGACAGGTACTGTTGATTCAAAGTACTGCCGGTGTCATGACAACTTGCACCGCAACAATATGAAGTTAACTTCACTTGCCCTCATTTGTCAGTTTGTCACCGTTGCATTTCGTTAAGGTGACGCCTCCTAAAGGTACGTCCACACCTTATGAACGAACACATACGAACATATGACGAGAAATACAAAGAAGAACAAACACGATCACGAACGAAGGCAAATCATTCCAAACAAACTTGAACAAACGCCTCAAAGCAGGGAGGGCTTGAATCTTCTTTGTTCGAGGATGTACCGTGCACAACATAAACTAATACAGGACTGCACATATTAACATAAAAAAAGAAAAATGTTTGTCTAAATTTGAACATGAACGAACAATTTTTTTTGGTGTGCCGATAAGTTGAGGAACATTGCTCGCTATGTTCGTTTGTGTTCGTTAGTGTTTCCTTATGGTGTCCACACTATGCTCGTTGCATTTCATTCTGGTATGTACATTCTTTCTGGTTCGTGTTCGTTCGTTAGGTGAGGCGCATTTTCACACATCGATTAATGAAATTATTAGAAGTCTATATTACTATTCTAATCCTGGTTAGAAGTAGAGTTGGGTAATTGCAGATTGAGTTATATCTGGTTATATTCGAAGATATAACTTCTCCTTCGGAGTGAATCCGGACGGACTTGTATCGGAGATTTTGTCATATCCGGCTTCTCTAAACTGATACTAAATCTGCTTAAAATTTTTTACTAATGCAAAGATTTGTATCAAAAGAAAAGACTGTTTTCTCGTCTCACAGGCAATTTTATGGTTTTCTAGGTATAAAATGATTCAAAATAATGCCAATTTGTATTAGCCATAAAATAAAAAATATAACAGCAAAAATACAGAACAATAAAATTGTGTTCTAGCGTGAACAGCTCAAATGCAAAATTTATTCAATAGTAATAGTTCATATTCATAACTACGATAATTCTTTCTCGTAAATGACCACTTTCAATGGTATACAAGCTTACATGCAATTATCATATTACTTTTGCATATTTCTAATGAACAAAAATGTTTGTAAACGATTTTCAGATACTTAAAATTCATAGATATATGAAGGACACACAATGGAACAACATGTTATCTGTTTCTGTTATATCGATGCATTTTCATCATGCATTTTAAAATATGTTTATTATTTTTTATTCATGGTTTTATTAATTGATTAAAAATTATGTTTTGAAAATATTGTAAAATTTGATATTTTACATTTTTTAATTTTCAAAGATGAATTTTGCTTTAAAAAATAGCGTAAATTTGTGTTGTTGAAACAGTTCACATACAAAGCAGCTAATTTGTTGAATCAAAGAATGATTATTTCATATGTGTTATTCCTCAACAGTTCATACTACAAAGATTAAAACAAATCGGGAAAAGCTTTCTTAATTTTAGTTATGATTATGTATATATATATACATATATATATATATATATATATATATATATATATATATTAATTATATATTAAAAAGTGTTTGATAAAATAATAACATTTAATCCATCATTGATTTCTAAAATGTAAACAGAAATATATATGTATATTTTTTAACTACAATTATTTTGAGGGTGTTGGTAATGATTGTATATTCCATGAGAAAGAAGGATTACAAAAGAAAGATAAATAATAATATTTATTGTAATAATAGTATATATTTTTTATACTTCATTTATTCCATTTTTCATATGTGCACATATAGAAATATATGCATATACACATAGTACATATAAAATTTAGAACATGAACATGTAATGCATATACATATACATGTATACATACATATTCACAATCACATTGGAAAAACATATGTACACAAAAGTCAACATACATATATTTTACATATCATACATGCATTTAAGATATCATATTCTTTGGTTAATCAACAATTTTTATATATGCATTTTCTTCCCTGCAGAGGACTAAAATTTTCTAATGTATGGACAATTTATGTATGCATTAATGTATGTTTATATATATATATATATATATATATATAATATTTACACATACATATACATGTACACATACAGATCCAGTAGAGAATGCTAATAGAGAAAACAATTAACAGTTATATAATATTATATTGCAGTCTATATATTTGAGGGTGTTATGACTATAATCTAATTAGAATCATTACATTATTTATAAGTAGAAGTTTTTGAAGGCAATTTTTGCACTCTTTATAAAACTTTCATTAATCACAAGTATAATATACTACACTAATAATAAGAATTGATACAATTTTGATATGGCTAAGCCATAACGGTCCTTTTCAATGTTTGAAAAATAATTTAAATAACTATAAGTAGGAATGATAAAAGTAAATTCAATTATGTATCAATGATAATTATAAAAATTAAAAACAATGTACATGAAATAAGATATAAAACCAATACTTTAACCCCAATATAACAAAAAATCAATGAATACAAATTTCTATACAGTAACTGTACATATTAAGGTCACATGTAAACTTCGTTTCAATTAAGCCAATAGGAACTTCAACAAATTCCAAAAAATATATTTTCATAGAAATTACATTATAATAAAATATACCTTTCAATAATAGTAATTTTTTTTTTGAATACACTTATATAGATTAAAAACCCTTATTGACTTATCACAGGTTTCTATGCTAATATACTATACACTAATTGAAAAAATAATAGATTTTTTTTCAAAATTTAGTTTCTGTGCATAGCATGAAACCACACAGAATTATTGATTTTCACTAGTAAAATCGTCCAGTTATTTTAATTTTCTGCATTTTTTCTCAATATTTTAATGCAGATTGATCCGCGAATTATTCTCAGCAAATCTATTACTTCAGTGGTAGTCATGTGTTCTATGGATTCATCATTTACCTACAAAATATTTTTCATATTTAAATATATTATATATATATATATATATATATATATATATATTATTCATTATGTGCATATATATATGCACATAATAAATAAAGAACGAAAGTAATTATATAATATGGTCACAAATTATAAATTATATTAGACAAAAATGCTATGACTAATTATACATTTATTTCATAAATTTATTCTAAATGTCATTTGATTTTTCAAAATTAATATATAAATTCATTTTTGTTGCAAACACAATGTTGATTTCATTTGCAAATATTTTGTTTTAATCAGTAATAACTTAAATGAATAATTTATCATTGAATAATTATTGAAAATGCTGTATTATCACTACAGCAGCAAAATATTACTATTTCCGACTTTAATTATGCAATTGTCAGTATATAGTGTAATGTAATGATTAAAAAAGCCGCTAGCAATGTGGTTTCAATGATAAACCGTCCTATATAGTAAAATTATGCATCATATTTACCATGAGCAGCCGGTCACCTTCTCTTAATCTACCGTCTCTTGCAGCCACGCTGTCAGCATAAATTGCACTAATCATGGTTTTTCCAGAAATTGGATCAGGTTGAAGACTAAAACCAAGACGACTATTCCATCCTCTGTTTAGTTCAACTATAAGAATCTGAAATTGCAAAGCATTAAAGTTAAAGAATGTATTGGGAATAATGTTGACCAAACAGATATATAACAAATTATATATTATATACAAAATTTTACCTGTCCATCTAAAGTTTCTTCGACTTGAACTACAGATGAATTAGCCTTCGCTGATGCTTCGTCTTCAGAAGGAAACATAACACCCTTCCATTTCACCAAACTCTTAGTACCTGAAAAAATTTTAACAAAACATTATTTCACAAAATATATTTAACAAATCTTTAAATCTGTAAAATTGTGAGACATCGCTCAATTACTTTAGGATATCAGAACACATTCGAATCTGATATTGGACGAAATTGGTAACTAATTCTTATAGTTCGAACACAACAATTTCATAATTTAATAAATTACTCTTATACTCATCCAAAATTTATAAGTAAACGTACCATCTTGCTTCTGATCAGTTGGATTTTCACTAGTATTACTCTCATCTTTGCTGCACGTCGGATGGGCGGATTGATAAGCAGGTTGACCATGGTTGAATGGTGCTGACTGGTTTTTCGTAGACATTTGAGGCATTGATACGGGTCCCTTAAATTAAATAAACAGATCCAAATTAAAATACTAAAAAATTGAAATGAACAATAATTAATATTAAAAATTGTTACATCAATTTAAAGAAGCTAGCAAAATTTAAATATAATCACAATTAAAAACAACTTACAATATAATCAAATAAAAAGTATGTTCTGTACACTTTACATTCAAATTATATTCATACAATTTAATTTTTACGTGCTATTGAAATGTTAGCACATCTATTTGACTTATTTAATCCACTTTTATTCGGTCTTACTTTCCCGGAAATCAAATTCGAAATCTTGATAAATGAAATTTAAACGGTAAAGTAGCCGACTTGTAATATTGGTAAACTTAAAAAATGATTATTTACACGTTTCGACATTTGATATGTGCTATCATTTAGCAGCTCATACCAGAAAGAATAAAACAAAAAGATTAAACATTTTTTTCAATTTTTATCAATAATAAAATATTTTTATACATAAAAAATGATAGATAATATAATATCAAGAGTAGTTTCACAATGTCCATTAGTTCTTTTAAATTCAAATTCTATTCACATCAGTCATAGGTGTTTTTCTTCGTTCAAATATTAGCGCATTTTTGATTTGTTTAATTCACATTTATTTGATCCTTATTTTGGCGCAAATCAAATTCGAAATCGTAATAAATTGTTTCAATGAAATTCAAAATCGCTTGAACTTCTTGATGTCTTCCTATAGAGAAATAATATTATATGTACATTAAATTTTGTATATTGAAAATCATTCTCGTTTTTAAAACGATATTTGACAAAGATTTGAATGTTCAAGAAAATCATTAGAAATTTAAAATGAAAAGTAATTATTATCGATTTTTTATTTAAAAATAATCTAATTAGCATTTCAAAAAAATAATTATTTAAACAATTTAAATGGTATTTAATAGAAACAATTATTTTTCTTACATGTGAGTCAGCCAATATAACACTATCAGGGTCAGTGGCGTACTCATCGGAACTCGTGGTAGGAAATTGTGCGCCTTCGCCATTCACGCCGCCAATGGAATATATAGTAGGGGCATCAAGCACGTCATTATCCAGGTTATTCAATTCATAACTATTCGCCGCTGTTAAGAAATATATTTATGTATTACTATTTATTTAAGACAGTACATTATCAAGCAATCATATTTTTTTCGGAATAAACAAATGTTCATGTATTCAAAAAGTTCGTCACTGATAGTGACTCACTATCAATGAAATCAACTACCCTCATATATGAGTACTACATACTATATTAAATTTTTGAGATAATTGATATGCATATAATTATTTTTATTCGAGAAATTTACATGAAATGAAACATAATAAAATATTAAAGACATTAGTATTTTGGTTTATGCATATCGTCAATTATAACTAATTATATATATATATATATATATATATATATATATATATACATATATACATATATGAAAATATTTCACGTAGGTAACAACTATGTGTGCAAACGATTAATATATGCAGAATCTAGAGCGCATGCGCATGATATTTCTAAAAAGCTGCATTATACAATAAACATGCTTTTGCAATGATGTTCATATTATTCATGAAATAAAAAATAATAAAGTTTAGTAGAGACCAATTAAAAGTACTATTAACTCTGATATTTAAACAATAAAATTATTTATACCACAAGCTAAGTTTAAAATATCTAAAGACAAGTAAAGTACATACCTAGTTTTATTTACGTCAATTTGAAAACAAATTTTATATCATTAAACCAATATTTGTTATAAATTACTTTAAAATAGCAGCCTTAAATATTCTATTGTTTTTCTGCAAAATTATAATAGGTAGTTGTTTTAGCTCAAAACTTAAAATAAATAAACAAAAATGTTATGATAAAAATGATGTGAATGATGATCACCTGTGAATTGAAAACATGGTTTTCTACTGACAACCGGGGTACCTGCACTAGGTTTGCCCTGACACAAGTCCAGAAAATTGGGTCTGGTAGGTTTTTCAAAGTTTTCCCGTTTTCCGTTCTGTCTCGGCTGATGGAGCTGTTGTCCTGGACTGGAATTCATGGTAAATGTGGTGTTTCTCGAAACCATAATGGCTGATCCATTCGGACTGCTATTTAATGATCCGTCTGTGTCGCTCGGACTTGCGGTGGATGGATAATATTTGTGATGAGCACCTAGGGCGATAAACCAATAGATATAATAAATTATACAAGGAAATACGTAAAATCAAACGCATAATTGCCAAAAGTGGTACTACCATTACGAATAATATGAGTACAAATGTTAAGAAATTTTACCGCTGTAAAAGATTTTGGTTATAAATATTTCTAAATATTAGATGCCTTACCGACATCGCTATCATCTGGACTGACCGTCCTAGTCAATCTTCTAAAACGTCTGGCTGATGATGTTGGAGAACGCTGAGATTTCATGGACGACCCCAAAGAGTCGCCTGGAGAGAGCTTCCTTGCTGCCAAATCGTACAGCATATCCAAAGCCTCTTGCCTATAATAGTAATACAATTATTAATGGAATTGAACTATATATACGTTAAATTAATCCGTTTATTCATTAAAGTATTATTTTTATGAAGAATGCTTTTAATATAATCAATCAGAATATTTTAATCGAAATTCATTTAACAATAAGTCTATATAATAATTCAAATTATTTGAAAGGATCTTATACAATTTGTACTGTAGTACAGTGGACAAAAATTAAAAATTAATTCCTTATGCAAATTTTATTGTAAATACAGTAAATACACTATCCCCGTTTTAAACGGTATTCGTTTTACACGTTTTCGATTTCACACGGTTTTTGTAAAAATATTTTTTTTTACGATATTTATTAATATTGCCTTTGTATGAAATTGTGAACAAAAAACTATAATTTGCTTGTATCTACAATAACATTTTCATTGTTTTACTGTCGAAATACAACACTACAAAATGTACGTTACAGTGACCAATTCTTAGTAATCTATGTCTATGATGGAAATATGTAGATAGGATGGAAACTCCCCGTTTTATGATCGAAACTAATTTTTGTGTGTGTATAGGCTAGTTTGTTTGAAGTATCAAAACAAAAAGCATAATTGTTTTTGAACTTTGGTTTGAATTAGCGTTTATGTATATTCTTAATCTACGAAAAGGAACACGAAGGTACGACTATTTTTTTTATATTTGTTTCATTTGAAATAAATTAATACACTTATAATTTATAAAATGTATTTGATATTAAATATATTAATATTTATTTCTTATTCATTATGTTAAAACTGAGAAAAAGGGCTTTTTATAGTAATTTTCTTTTAAGACGGTTTCTCCATATAAGAGTAAAATTTTCAAGTTACACGGTTTTATATAAAACCTATTTTCCGTGAAAAGCGGGAAATATGCGTATTGTGAAAATATAAAACAATATTACAACAACAAACATTAATTTACATATTATCTCATATTAATTTAAATCGTTTGTCATAAATGTTGTACCGAAATGTAGTAAAACTATTAATCTAACTTATACTCTGATTATTAACTTCCCGTAGGGCAAGTTATAGTAATCGCAAAAAAATCGAAAATGAAAATTTTTATATATCTTTACGTTTCAGAGGTTTCTGAACATTTTGGCATACCTTAGAAAAAATGGATGTATGTGTGTGTGTGTGTGTGTGTGTATGTATGTATTGTTGTGCCCCATCCAGCGACGGAGCCAACAAAATGTAGGTTCTTCCTGCTGCTAAGTATCAAGCTGGTACCAGAATGTGAAATGGAATCAGTAAAACAGATGAAGACTTTTGATGTTGACGTTTATTTCATGATTCTTGTACACTTTTCATATAATTTGAACACTGAACTTAAATATACTCCATTGATTACTTTATATTACTTAAAATGACTGAATTTTATTATAACTGGATTACAACTGAACTATATTGATCTTAACCCATACTGATCTTGACCCATACTCATACTGACTCAAACTGACTGTTTATTGCATCATCCAGAACCTTAAATACTCTTATCGGTATGACGCATTCCTTTCTAGAATGTACGATATATGTGAGTCAGAAACGCTTTCACTTGGTCGTCGGACACGTTTGCGGTTTCAAAAGGAATTTTATCAACACTTGCAAGTTACTACTGCAAGCTTACAATGTAACTATGAGCAATACTAATTGCGTCGTTCATATTGACTGTTACATCAATTTACAATATTATTTATAACTATTGTAAAGGGTGAATACCACAACACCTCATCCGCCGAAAAAACGCGCGCGCCCTCGTGCGTTCACAAAAAAAGCATTTTCGGGTGCTTCAAAAAATGTTGTTGCTCATGCTATTACATTGTACAGATTTCTTATAATTACTTGTTTGGATATAATTAATATAATTTGAAGTTCATATAATCTTTCAAATACATTTTTTTTTCTTCATGAAATTTCGAAAAATTTAAAAAAATGTTAATTAAAAAAAATTCAAAAATTGTATTTATTGTAGAACAATATCATGATTTACAATTAAACATAATTTTATTTCAATGGTAATATTTTCAAAATTTCATGATTACAGTTGAGTTATATAACATCTTTATAATATTTCAAAATATGACATTTCATTGATTAATAACAATGTGAACAGTTTTACAATAATTATTATGACTTATGATTAACAATGCTCTTTTTTTTAAAAAAAAAAAAAACTTTGATTTCATTACATATAAATTTTCAATATTTGTGAAAAAAAGTTTGAGAAACTTTGGTTGTGACAATTTTATTTTAATTTATTTGTTTTTGATTTCTTTTTCTACATTTAATTCATATATTTCTTTTGTAACTTAACTTGTTTGTTGTCTATTTTTGACAATTGTTATTATTTCATTTTTGGTTTTTATATTAAATTCAATTCGCAAAAAAAAAATCATTCAGTTGGCATGTCCTTTGTCGTTGATCGGTATGGTCCGTCCTGTACCATTCGTCTCAACAACTCTGTATGCATCTTTAATAGAGGCATCAGTTTTTTGGATTTACTTGCGTAAGGATTTTTGTCTGTTAATATTCTAAATCGTAAATCGTCGTTTTGAATGTCCGTTGCGGTTTCATGTACTTGTCGTTGGATTTCTTTGATTTGGTTTGTTGATAACGAGTTTGGTAGTAGTTGTGACTGTAACTACCTCTGGTTCTTCAACTTTTTTGATCGTTTGTTTGTTTGAAATTCTGATTTTTGTTCGTAAAATCTTTGTCTGTTTTTCTGTTTCCTGAGTACGTTTCGTGCGTGTTGCAATTTGTGGGTCGTTTAAAATTTTGTCTTTCTGTTCTTTTTCGTTATTTGATTTTGTTAAAATTGGAACATTTTTGTCATGTGTTGCCTTGGTTGCGTCCTTGTCTTTTAGTTCCTCTTTGATTGGTTTTGTGCAAAAGTTTTGTTTTCATTTGTAACGAAACATTGTTGTTTTTGAAATTTATTTTCTTTTCGTCAGTTTTGTTTATTGAAAAATGAATTGGGAATTTGTGATAGTAGTTCACGTACTGTAATTGTTTCGTTTTCTGATGTTGTTGGTTTTGGGTCTTGGGTTTGGGAATTTGTGGTTTGTTGGTTCTCGTCACAGTTTGACATCTCTGAGTATGTGCGTCTGATGCATTTTCTGCATGTGTGTGGTAGGAGTAATAAAAGTTTTTGACATGTTGTAATTATTTCGATTTGTATTAAAATTTCTTCGATTTGGATTTCTACATTCAAAATTAAATGACTTGGTTTTTTTACATAGTTACAAAATTTTTGGTTTATTATTTGAATTAGCATTATTCTTTTTATTTAAGAAACATTGTGGAGCAATATGACCACGTTTTTTGCAAATGTAACATATTATTTATTATTTTGATTATTTCTGATATTTGATGAATTTTGACTAGCTTCTTCTTGCAAGCGAAGTCAACAGCATCTTTAATATCAGAAAATCGACAGCATTTTACTATGTTTTAGAGGTTCTGTTAAGCCATTTTCAAAAACTTTTACACTACTTGTTCGAATGTCACTTGTGTTGTTGTTGCATAGTCATGTCCTACTCTAATTACGTTTGAGTAATAATTTGTCGTAAAATTTCTTCAATTCTGTTTCCAAAACTTTTTACTGTTTCGTTGTATTTTCGTTTTAAATTATTTAATTCAATCATAAACTAGCAATTGGTCGTTTGACAACATATTCTTTAACTAACTAAATAACATTTTATCTTCCCACGTTTCAAATTAATAATGGATCTTTGCAAAAATTTGTGGGTCTAATTTTAATTTTATAACTGTAAGCAATTTTTTCCGTTCTGATGGACTCAAATCCACCGATAATGCATCGCAAGCGTAATAAATAGTAATAATGAAGATCATGAAGGTTTCCCATTGAAATTCGGAATTAACGCAATAGCAGTTTGAATATTTAATTTACCTTCGCGCGACATATCGACTAGTTCATTCATTTTTGAAAAGTATGAAAACTACTAAAACAGAAGCGCAAAAATTTACAAAAATATGTTAAAAATAACTTACTGACAATGAGTTGTATTCCTTTCTTAATTTAATATCCTTTTGGTTCACTCGAATTCACAATCACTTAAACTTTGTAACCTTGAACATGATTATATAACACTTTTTTCATAACACTTTTTATTTTATTTTTCACCTTTAACTTTTCACTGTAAATATAACACTTTGAACTTCTTGTTTTTTCCTTTTTCTTGATTTATATTATCTTCTTTCTCTTTCTTTGTTTCTTGATTATTAATTTGATTTTCTGTTTCTTCTTATTACGACTTCTCTCTTTTCTTTGTTTCTTGATTCTTCTTGTTACGTTTTTTCTCTTTTCTTACTTCTTGATTTTTGGAGTCCTTCACTTTGTAGTTTCCAATAATATTTCCACTTCGGTAAAGCTTTTTACCTTTTCTTGAATCTAATTATTGCTATTTCGGCGTATTTTTCTCAAATATCCGGTTTCCAAATATGCAATAATTCTATGTTCAAAACATGTTATGGTAAAATAATTTAGCATTTTTTTTTTAAAAAAATTCGCAGAATCCCAAGCTGCCACCAAATAAAATATGTTGTGCCCCATCCAGCGACTGAGCCCCCCAAATGTTAGGTTCTTCCTGCTGCTAAGTATCAAGCTGGTACCAGAATGTGAAATGGATCAGTAAAACAGATGAAGACTTTTGATGTTGACGTTTATTCATGATTCTGTACACTTTTCATATAATTGAACACTGAACTAAATATAACTCCATTGATTACTTTATATTACTTAAAATGACTGAATTTATTATAACTGGATTACAACTGAACTATATTGATCTTAACCCATACTGATCTTGACCCATACTAATACTGACTCAAACTGACTGTTTTATTGCATCATCCAGAACCTTAAATACTCCTTATCGGTATGACGCATTCCTTTTCTAGAATGTACGATATATGTGAGTCAGAAACGCTTTACTTGGTCGTCGGACACAGTTTGCGGTTTCAAAAGGGAATTTTACAACACTTGCAGGTTACTGCAAGCTTACAATGTAACTATGAGCAATACTAATTGCGTCGTTCATATTTGACTGTTACATCAATTTACAATATTATTTATAACTATTGTAAAGGGTGAATACCACAACAGTATGTATGTATGTATGTATGTGCGTGTGTGTATGTATGTGCGGATACAAATTTTCGTCGACGATTTCGGGAACACAGATCAACCGATTTGAATAATTCAAAAAACATTCGATTCGTATTGATAAGGAAACGTGCTGATTAGTTTTTGGCGAAAGCAGGTCTAGCCGTTCCGAAGATACGGGGCAAAAAGTGCCAAAAGCGGTACCTCCGTTTTTAAGAGAACGGAGCGTCCGATTTGAATAATTCGAAAAACATTTTACTTGTATTGACAAGATGTAGAATTGATCAAATTTTCATGGAGGCAGGTCTAGCGGTTTCGGAGATCTAATAAAAAAAGTAAAAAAAAATGCCATTCGGCGGTGAAAAATGATCATTAGACATATGCACATCAAATTATCAGATATTTTATAGAGATTTTAACAATGAGTATAATTTTTTTCTACATTTCTATGGGTTCCGTACCAATGCTTATGCGTTAGACGGCGGCGCGGCACTTGCGAGCTTTAACATTTCGTCTCTATGCAGTTCAAGCAGTGCGATTGCTTTGAAAAAAAGTTCAGTATTTCCAAAATATGTCAAAATAAAGAAAACATTTTTTTCAAAAAATTTTTTTTGTTTCAAAAAAAATTTTTTTTTCGCCAAAAAAATTTTTTTTTAAATAAAATTTTTTTTTTTTCAAAAAAAAGTAATTTTTTGTCAAATTTAAAGTTTCTCAAAAATCATATTTTTCGAAATAAAATTTTTTCAAAAATGTTAATCGTTTTTGAAAAAAAATAATTATTGGTACGGGAAGTTCCAGCAATTTGCCTTAAGGCACGATGCCCTAATTGCCTTAAGACAGAATTCCACTTACAGCTAGTTAAAGTTCCAAATTGTATATAATTTATTGATAAGAAACATGTCTGCGACAGATCGATAACGGTGAAACACTGTTTAGACAACGAATTCGAGTGATCAATAAATTAAAATAAATTAATTCATCCATGATGATATATAATATTATATATCCATAACAATTCACCATTAGCAAATCAAATAAATTATCGAGGCAAATTGAAATTTCAAGTTTTAAAATTTGTTCAAACGTGTTTTTCATTTTATTGTATTGGCAATGAAGGCGGCAATCTTCATATCATTGAGCTTTTACACAGAGCTACCCCGTACAGCAGTGGTGTTGTGCTAATATTTTTTTACCGGAACGCTAAAATTAATAAACCGGTTCTCATATATGTTTGTTCCGGTTCCGTTCGAGAAAAAAGAAACAAAAATCATGACAAAACCCATTTTATGTTCATATATATGTATGTTTATTACATTAATAGGAACGTTTAATAAAATTAGTTAAATTATGAATTATAAAATTCACTTATCAAATCATTTTCTGTATGTAGCGATTTTTTTTATAATATAACGCGTTCCGGGGCTCGACAAAACCACTGCCGTAGAGGGGGTAGCGAATTTGGATCGAACTTATTTTTCTCACTTCTAAAAGTAAAGTCTTCAATCTTCAATTAAAACTTATTGTCAAATCATTAGTGTAATAAGAATTGCAACAAATACATAAAATATAATAACAAATCAGTGTTCAATAAGGTCCACAGCTACAAAGGTTAAATTATAACCTAACAACCTGAGCTATCGAAGAAGAGATTTTAATAATTAAATTTTCGGATATTCGTGAAAATTTTCCATTCGCAACCTAACGTGTTCGTGTTTTGTTAATATTCAAGACAAACCTTAAATGAGTCCTGACCGCCGATCGTCCTCCGCTGTCGCCGTTCGCCGTCCGCCACCGCGCTGAGCAATCGTTCTTTTCGGACTCAGTAGGCGAGACAGCTCCCACGGGAGTCTGTGCGGAGTCTCTATATAATTTTAGCGTTACTTCATCTCCACATCTGAAAAGAATTTTCACAATATCGTTGAGAAATAGTTCTCAAAACAATTTAGGATGCAGTCTGCACTACACACGTTCTATTGATTTGATATTAAACTGATGAAGATGTAATATATCAAAAAGTCATAGAAAATGATAGTTGATACAAGACTGCGAAGCAAAATTTAAAGGGATTAAGTATCTCTATTTTAAATTACTATTTACAAATAGATTGATTTTATATAGTGCTCGAATAATGAATAGCGAGCAAATATATAATCTTAGCTATAAACATTGCGGGGCCCGAGACCTTTCCAAACGAATGCAAAATTTCGAAATCGGTTCGTGCGTTCTGAAGTTATTTCATCAGGAAGGAAAACCCGACTTATTTTTATATATATGTAGATTAGGATGGTCCTTAAAATGGTCATTTTCGAATTTCCTTGCTCCCAGGGGCTCAAATGGTTCCAAATAGATAAAAAACAATTCTCTGAAAGTTTTAGCTCTTAATATTAACGTTAGTTTAGATAGTAGAGCGCAATTCAATAAAGTTTGTATGGAAATAGCATGGAAAATTTTTCAAATTTTTTAAATATATATATATATTTACAAAGTTGACGCTCTGAACTCCTTTTCTTCAAACTTCTGAGACATAAATGAGGCTTACAGCGTTTGACCTAAACTGATAATGATGTAATATATCAAAAAGTCATAAGGAATGATACTCGATACAAGGTTTCAAAGCAAAATTCACAGATATTATTTTCTGTATTTTAAATTATTATTTATATGTAATAAATAGCTAGAATGAAATTTCCGCTGTCCAGAAATTGTTGAGGATCAAATACGAAATATGTTCTACATCGCATGAAAGTTTATTATATAAAATGGTTTATTATGAAAATATATTTTTTTTACAAAATGATGCTCTGAACTCCTTTTCTACAAACTTTTGAGACGTAAATGTGGCTTACAGCGTTTGACCTAAAGTCATTTGTATGCTTCTCTTAACCTAGCCAGGCAGAATCGATTCAGACCTCTTGCATATTTTAGGAACATTTTGTCGGAAGACATTTTATGTACCAAATAGTACTTTGCATTCAATAATATTGGAAAAGTACTCGTATATATTGAAAATTGTAAAAAAAAATATTCCAGGAAAAAGATAATTTATCTTATAATAATCATTTTCTCATAATGATGCCAAAGATAGACCAGCGAACTAAATTAGAATTTAGATATTAGAACTCAATTGTTTTTTTTTTCAGCTTTGGTGCTAATAATTCGCCATAACCATTGATATTTCTCATAGTATTCCTAATAAAGCGTATATAACATATAAGTACACCTAATCAATATTTTCATTATTTAAAAAAGAATTATTATTGTGATATACAATTAAGTGAATTTAGTTAATATATCAAACAAATTCCATGTAAATTTTTGAATTTTTTGAATATTAATTATCTCGATTACGCACCTTCGTAAGAAGGCTACAGCTTCTTCATGGCTAAGTTGGCACATTGACACTCCATTGACAGCCAGAATGCGGTCTCCGGGTCGTAAACGTCCATCGGACAGGGCCGGTTCGCGAACAAGGGCTCGTACGTAATGACCGAGTACGCTGTTGTCTTCACGACGTAGAGTAAAACCTAATGATCCGCTACGCTTTTTCATGACTATATCGAATTCCTGGGAATAAATTATTCGAAAATATTAATGTTGATAGATTTTATTTGTAAACATGTTCAGCGATAATGATTAAAAACATATTATAAAGTTACGATAATATTATGATAAAGCAAACTACTCGTATAGATAAATCAAACACTTACTTCTTCCACTGGATAATACTGATTCCACTTAAGCGTAAATATAAAATAAGTTATTAATTTCATAATATAAAATCAATGCACAAAAATATTGAAAGTGATTTATATTACATATAGATCTTACAATTTTTCATTCGCATTGTACAATTATCGAATTGATTCGATTACGTTATATTAAATATAGCTATTATCTAAAGCTATTACTTATATGGAAGTATGTACATCTTGCAGCGTATTATCGTTTAAGGGGGTTTCTAATCTAAAAGTTTTAAGAAATCGTTTTTCTATATTTTCAAAGTTTAAAATATTCAGAAATATGTATACAAGAGGATTTATTTTTCAAGATTAAAATTATTTCTGACAATATAGTAGTTTGCCCCCGATAGGAGAATCCTCTGTTATTTCACTGCGAAATTTCAAATGTATTTTGTTCAAAACCATTTTTTTCTGTACGATACACACTACTTCTCAATTTCTACTGAACCAATTTACTTGAAATTTTTACAGTCTTTTTTATAAACTTACCAATGCAAAATCATCATCCCCAAATTCCGATTTTTACTATTTTTTAAAAAAAATCGAGAATATCGAAAAAAATTTTTTATCGGTATTTTGTGATTTTTTCTATTTTTAACTTCAAGTTCATACTAATGCGATATTATTCTAGATAAATGAGCTTTTTTATCAGATTATTTGAAAGGCTATATCAGGAGTATAGTGACGTGCCAATTTTTTTACCCCCCAGTACATTACCAGCAAGAATAAAACTTTTTGATTGTTTTTAAATTTCAATTTTACATTCTTAAAATATTAATTGATAATTTATAAAAACGTATAGTAAAATATTATTCGCCTTTTTCACTGCTAGTCCAGTCATTTAAGCTTAAATTACGTAAGAATCTCGGAATTCGAGATACCCAGCTGTAAGTCTGTAAATACTTCTATATTGACACCCTCTAAAGTTGTCTCAAGACCTACATATGGTAATTACACCCTACCATATGTAGGTTTTGAGACAACTTTTAAGGTGTCAATACAAGTATTTACAGACTTACGGCGGGGTATCTCGAATTCCGAAGTGAACTTAGGGGGCGTCCATTAATCACGTGAGCTAGTTTTTAATGATTTTTTGACCCCCCTCCCCCTTGGTGATACATGGTGATATTCAAAATTACCCCTCCCTCCCCTCTCAAACATCACGTGTAGTTTTAGTTACGTGATAAAACTGTGAATTTTTTAATTTTTTTTTGAAAATGATTGATATTTTTTAAAACTCAGTTAAAAATAAATACACGTGATATCTTACTATACACACCTCCCTCCCTCCGTGATTTTTCGTGATTTTTTGTAGTGAGATGGATCATAATCTACTATTTACGAAAGTGCTTTAGATATTAAAATTTCGTTATATTTAAAGTAAATGATAATGGGAACTATAAAAACGATGCAATATATTTGTGGTGAAGTAAAGCTAAAGAATTTTTTATGCTGTTGTAGTATAAAATCAAATAGTGTAACGTGATATCGGATCGTTTGGCACGATATAAATATATATATAAATATATATTATATTAGAGTGGGCCAATTTTTGCATATTGAGGCACCTCGCTAATTTAACTTTTTACACATTTGAACAATATTGTAAAAAAAGCATAACTTGCAAATGAATTTAAAGCCAGCGAAAAATTTAAAACATTTTTAATTTAAAGAGAAAAAAATGAAAAATCTCATGAAAATTATATTATGACATATATCAAGTTATATATCATTTTATTCTTAATTTTATTCTGCATCTTTTGTACGAACAAAGTTTTTTCGTATCTTTTAACGGTTTCGGAGAAAATCGATGAAAACTAGTGAAAACTTGCATTAAAAAATCGGATTTTTTTTATAAAAAAAGAAAAAATAATATAACTACAAATAAATTTGTTTTAAATTTGTTTTTTTGTTTAAAAAAAACAAAAACTTTTAATAATGTCGTAGACCGTGTTTGGAATTATATACGTCGTATATGTTCGGATGTCGGTTTACGCCGGGTTCTGGACCTATTTATAAGTGTTCAACCTACTGTACAGCATATCCGCGGGCATGTGTCGTTGACGCAAAGACCTCTTATGCGAAAATAAAATATACAAATGCAATCAACTCAATACTCTCCGAGCGAGAATAAAAGTTGAGTTATGACGATGAATTTGCCCCGAAGTTTCAATCTAACGAAGGGTAAAGAGACTAAATAAACTGGGTCTCGGACCGCTAATGTTATATACGGACCGCCGTTTCGACGGTTGTTAAAGGTCTAGCCTCTGTGTAAGCGCAGAATTTATAAAAGTTGCCGGGTTTAGACCGTCGTGAGACAGGTTAGTTTTACCCTACTGATGAATTGTCGTTGCGATAGAATTTCTGCTTAGTACGAGAGGAACCGCAGGCTCGGACGTGGTGCAAAGCTACCATCCGTGGGTATGCCGAACGACTCTAGGCCATATCCTTTCTAGATAACAACGATATTTTGAGGAGTCTCGTGAGTCGAAAGACTCAATACAATGTGATTTATTAGGTATTCGGCGCACGCCGTTTATCGCACGAGCCATTTTAGCCGCTTTATAGCGGTCGATCATGGTTCACTAGTTCGATGTAGAGACTCGGAATCGTTTATAGACGACTTTAATTTAGACCGTCGTGAGACAGGTTACTCTGTGTAAGCGCAGAATTTATAAAAGTTGCCGGGTTTTAGACCGTCGTGAGACAGGTTAGTTTTTACCCTACTGATGAATTGTCGTTGCGATAGAATTTCTGCTTAGTACGAGAGGAACCGCAGGCTCGGACGTGGTGCAAAGCTACCATCCGTGGGTATGCCTGAACGACTCTAAGGCCATATCCTTTCTAGATAACAACGATATTTTGAGGAGTCTCGTGAGTCGAAAGACTCAATACAATGTGATTTATTAGGTATTCGGCGCACGCCGTTTATCGCACGAGCCATTTTAGCCGTTTTATAGCGGTCGATCATGGTTCACTAGTTCGATATAGAGACTCGGAATCGTTTATAGACGACTTTAAGGTACCAGGCGGGATGTTGTATTTGGTAGAGCAGTTACCACGCTGCGATCTGCTGGAACACAGCCTTTGGCTTGGGGATTCGTCATGTTGGCTTGGCGTCACCCCACGCTCTTAGAGCATAAGCCTTAAGCCGTCGCATTGCAGTATGCCACAATCAGTATGACTTGACCCTCAGAAAGTTGTACATATTGTACATGTGATACTTCTTTGGTATCTACTTAGCTATTTTGTACAACGTGCCTAAGTCAGCACGTTAGGCAAAACTTATCGGCATATTCCGATACTAGAAATATTCATTATTTCTTTAAATAACTATAAGGCTATATAATAGTTATAAAATTTGTGAGAGTTAACGAAGAGTATTTGTTTTTAAGAGAAACTTTTCGTATTTCTTACTATGAATATATGATATCTTTTATTTAATTCTATATAAGGGAGAATGTTTTTTCAAGTTCTTGGAAATGCGTACAAGTTACCAATTAAATGAAATGCGTACAAGTTGCTAATAAGCAAAGTACGTATAAGTTATCAATAATGGAAAATGCGTGCAAGTTGTCAATGTGTAAAATACGTGCAAGTTGTTAATGTGCAAAATACGAGCAAGTTGCCATTTTTATTTAATTTTTGTAATATACTCTAAATCTATAATAAATAGTAACTCAGCTTGACCTAAAATCTTGCTACAAAACAGGTTAAAACATTTCTCGGCATTTTAATATCAGTAACTTACGGGTACCGCGAACTACATCAAGTAAACTGTTAGGGGACATTAGCGAAGAAGCGTAACCTAGAATCTTGCATCGAAACAGGTTAAAATATTTCTCGGGTACCGCGAACTACATCAAGTAAACTGTTAGGGGACATTAGCGAAGAAGCGTAACCTAGAATCTTGCATCGAAACAGGTTAAAATATTTCTCGGGTACCGCGAACTACATCAAGTAAACTGTTAGGGGACATTAGCGAAGAAGCGTAACCTAGAATCTTGCATCGAAACAGGTTAAAATATTTCTCGGGTACCGCGAACTACATCAAGTAAACTGTTAGGGGGCATTAGCAAAGAAGCGTAACCTAGAATCTTGCATCGAAACAGGTTAAGAACATTTCTCGGCTTTTTGAATACGTGCAAGTTGACAATTATGTAAAATACGTGCAAGTTGACAATTATGTAAAATACGTGTAAGTTGTCAATGTACAAATACGTGCAAGTTGATATTTCTATTTAATTTTGTATCATACTCTAAATCAGTAATAACTTTCAATCTACAAATATTTCAAATCTTTATAACAAAATATTCAGTATTTATACATATTATTTCGCAAAACATCCGAAAAGTTGCCATAGAGATAACTGACTTGAAGCGCGATGTATCCGAAAAGTTACCATAGGGATAACTGACTTGAAGCGCGATGTATCCGAAAAGTTACCATAGGGATAACTGACTTGAAGCGCGATGTATCCGAAAAGTTACCATAGGGATAACTGACTTGAAGCGCGATGTATCCGAAAAGTTACCATAGGGATAACTGACTTGAAGCGCGATGTATCCGAAAAGTTACCATAGGGATAACTGACTTGAAGCGCGATGTATCCGAAAAGTTACCATAGGGATAACTGACTTGAAGCGCGATGTATCCGAAAAGTTACCATAGGGATAACTGACTTGAAGCGCGATGTATCCGAAAAGTTACCATAGGATAACTGACTTGAAGCGCGATGTATCCGAAAAGTTACCATAGGGATAACTGACTTGAAGCGCGATGTGTCCGAAAAGTTGCCATAGGATAACTGACTTGAAGCGCGA